TGGCATTTTTTTTATAGCTCCACAGTTGCCATATTTTATTTTTATTTATTTTTCATTTTCATTTTATTTTATTTTTTGAGAGGGGAGGGAGGGCTTTGGCTTTACCACATTATTGCCATTTCTCACACATTTCGCCACAGAGTTGTCAACGTGGGTCAATTTCTTTGCTTTTTTTTTTTTTTTTTTTTTTTGATTCTTTTATTTCGTATTTGTGTATGTGTGTGCGCGCTCTGATAGCCAAAACCCAAAATCCTCGACGACAACGACCGACGACGACGGCACGAGCACAAGTGCAAACGTTTCTCTTCACATGGGCAAAGGCTAGCGACTGACTGCTGATTGAAGGAAAAGCTTTCAAATAGCTATACAGTTGCTGTTGTCGGGTGGTGGAGCCGAAAGCGAGGCGATTAGATTCCTGGTACACATCGCGACATGTGCGCGCGAACGCTTTCAACCAAAAGAGAATAGGCGAAAAGCTTTCGCTCTCACTCACGCTCTCTCTCACGGGCTCCCACTCACTTCACACTGTACTGGAATTCGGTTGGGATTTGTGCTTTCGAGCATTGATGTTGCCGTTGCTGCTTGAATTGAGCATACCAAAAAAAAATAAAACAAAAAAGAACTGTAAATGTATTGATGAGCAGCAGTCAGTTGTTGTTGCCTTTTGGTGTTAGTTCGTAATTTTACGCTCTTTTACGTTCCGCTCTTTCTCTCTGGTTAAACGACCCCCGGGGAGCAGGCGCCGAACAGTGATTGTTCGGCGTTGAGTGGCTAAACTGACCCAGGGTTGTATTCAAGCTTTACCAAGCAGGACCGACACACACTAAGACACACACGCACCGAATGTGATTCAATTGGATATATTGTTTACTACCGTTCAACATTCATATTACAAATTGAGCGCTTAAAAAACTAAAGATGCAACACACTGCATACTTTATGTGTAGAGTCGGATTGTGCAATCGGCGCCTGTGGAGAACACCCAAGGCTGGACCGGATGCCAAGTTACATCTAGGACGCCAAACTCGTCGCGTTTCTCGTGCGTCTGCAGCTTCTTTAGCGGCACTATCAATGGATTTTGAAGCAGATCGCTAAAAGAGAATAAGAGAGCGTAAACATGGCATACTTAAAGGAGCAGCGACCTAACACTCACTTATAAACCATGCCATGGGACACAATGACCGCCTGGTCATCGCTGCCGGATGCAAACAGAGGATAGCGCAAGTGGAAGGCCACGCTGCGCACGGCATTGCGATGCAGACGCATTGTCTGATACGGTTTGGTTGATAGATCCAGATCGAACCAGAGCATCTTCTTGTCATAGGTGGACACTAGCAGATTGTCACCTTTGGGATGTATGGACATGCCCGATATCCACTTGGAGTTGGTTAACAGCTTCTTAATCAGCTCCTGCTTTACCAGATCATAGATGCGAATGTTATGCTGAGTCTGTAAAGGAAAGGAATGAGATGTAGTGGGATGGAACGATGTGGAGGAGGAAATACACTTACTGCCACGAAGAAGCAAGGCTTAACTGGATGGAAGAGAACGCATTGTATCAGGCCCTTGCTCTTGGAGAAAGGTATTTGTGAGCGTCGCTTCGAGAGCTGATGTATGAGAGCTGAGCGATTGGCACCCTCGGGCATTACGGTGGCCAGGTAATCACCGCGACCATGCCAGGTCACCTGACGTATGGGCTTGAAGTGTGTTATGACCACACGCACACCCTTCTCTTGCTCGTCGGGCTCCGCATTGGACCATTGCACAGCTGTCTTGATGCGCTCACTCTCAATGACATCCAAATTGGGCGATTCGGCCAGCAGATCGTCTGTTTTTTTAATCAACAGCTTGTCGCCCACCTTAGGATTGATGAGGAGCAAGCGACTGCCGGTGGCCACAGCAATAATGGATAACTTGGCATTGGGACACCAGGCAACGCAGCGGACCACATCGTTAGTCTCGATGGTGCGAATGCAACGTCCAGTGGCGATTTCCCAAACTGAAATAAAATAAATATATATTAATATATAGAGCAGGATTTAGCAGAAATTACAGATGATTTACTTACTCTTGACTGTCTTATCATCGGAACCGGAAACCAAATACTCTCCCTTCGGCTCCACGCTCACAGAACGCACCAGATCCGTGTGGCCGCGATAGACCAGACTCTCCACTGTGGGGAATGGCTGCAGATCGCGTGGCGAAGGCAATTTGGGTATCAGATACTCCGCATCAATATTCAATTTGACACGCTTGGCACGCGGACACAAATACAGATCCAAGCAGCGTAGGAAGCGTTCGCGCAGATAGCGGGAATACGCTGGAACGGCACGAAGGGATTTGTATTTCTGTGGCATGAAATGCAGCTTGCGCTTGTGTGGCTCATCCTTAAGCTTGAGCCACTCCTTTGTCTCCTTTTCGTCGAAGAGGTACTCGGGCGGAGGATTATACGATTCAGCATGACCAGGCAGATCACGTTTGGGTGCCGACACAGGATCATGTATGCGACGCATATGCTCCCGTCCCGTATCTGTTTCCCACAGCATATAGAATTTGGGACCACGTTTTTGTTGCTTCTCGCGCTCCACTTCCTCGGTGGTCTTCATCCAACCCATTTTAAGGGCATGCACCATGCGGGAAACTTTCTTCTTTTCCGATACCGACGGCAGGAACGAACGCTTGTGGTCCGGTACATTCTTAATGGGCATTTTCTCCACCTCCGAGGTGAACCATTCGATCCATGGAGCGTATTCATCATGTTCTGGATTTGGTATGCGCGACGAGTTGACGCGCTTGATCAGCGCTATATCCTCGTCAGTTAGCAACACTTCCTGGCCTGTCATCGGGTCCTTCACAGTGCGCCAGAAGTTCGGATCCTCGATCTTGCGCAAGAAATCGTCAATTTGATCGCCTTTTGGCGGTTTTATAATTTTCTTTGCATCCCAGTCGTAGCCAATGTGCTTGTATTCATCATACCAGTGCATGGGTATGTTGCCCACTGTATTTCGTATATCCTCCTCATCAGAAGTGTCCGACTCCTCGTACTCAGGCTTTGAAGGATCACGCGGAATTATCTGAATGATGGGCTCCTTTGTCTGGGCAGCAGCTGCTTTACTGCTGCTTGACTGATCGTCTTTAGGCGTTGGTGAGGCATCATCAGCATCGCTCTCCTCGCTATCATCATCAGAGTCATCATCCTCATCCTCACCCTCATCCTCGTCTTCATCATCATCTTCGTCTTGATCGTCTTCACCTTCTTCTGCCTCGTTGCTGACTTTTCTGCCCAAATAGTTACCTTCTTCGTCGCTTTCAAACTCTAGATCTTCACTGCTGTCCGACTGATATTCTTGATCTATGCCTTCATCATCTGTCGTGTCCTCGCCAGGATCTTTTACAGCTTGTAGCAGATCCTTGACGAAAAAACAAAAATTGAAATCTCACTTTCATATGTATTCATTTTCTTGGCTTACCTCATCTTCCTCATTGTCTGACTGTTCAGAAACCGAAGGTTGTTCCTTTGTGGGCTCAGGTTCTTTAACTTTACGTTTTACTGTCCGTTTTTTAGTCATTTTTAATAGAAAACAAAACGAAACAATTTGGCGCACGTGTTGCGGCACAAACTTCGATTGCAACTGGTAAATCGATAAAAAAAAATATGCCTACGTTTTGTGTGAATGCCAAATTCGCTCAATTATGCGTTTCAGGCATTTTTCTATATGCCTAAAAATACTTTATTCTTAGAATTATTATACAAAATAATTACAAATTAAAATGAATGGTTAATGATTACAATTTGTATAGACTCAAAATGTATTAATTTGAGCATGTATAAACAGGTGCATATCTGTAAAGTGAAAACATGAGTTTAACAGCTGTTGCTGTTAGTATGAGAAATACCATGTGTTAAAGCAGGAAAACTATAGTGTTATATTACATAGAGCTGCCACATCGTTAATAACGCCTCTTGGCAATTTAATATCAAATAACTACCTAAATAACGGCAGGAACGTACTAATACTACAAAACTCTGAGGAGAATACAAATTAAATAGAGCTTGCCACAAAAAATGTAAAATAGAGTGCTTAACTAGCACACAGTTCCCCTATATACATCGCAAATAAACGGCAAGAAACTATTGCATCATAGCCAAACGGAAAACAATCAACTGCAAGTGCCATCGATTTGCAACAATTATAAAGTAGAAAAATGACTGCCCCGCGACGTCTGCGCAAGGAACTCGTAGATTTGCAGGAAAGTAGCTTAAAATCGTTTCGTGACATCAAGGCCGACGATGATAATCTGCTGCGCTGGACGGGTCTGATTGTGCCCGACAATCCGCCCTACAACAAGGGCGCTTTTCGCATCGAAATCAATTTCCCGGCCGAATATCCCTTCAAGCCACCAAAGATTAGTTTCAAAACAAAAATCTACCATCCGAACATCGATGAAAAGGGTCAGGTGTGTTTGCCCATCATCAGCACGGAGAACTGGAAGCCAGCCACGCGCACCGACCAGGTGGTGCAGGCACTAATAGCGCTCATCAACGATCCCGAACCCGAACATCCGCTGCGCGCCGAACTGGCCGAAGAATTTCTCAAGGACAAAAAAAAATTTGTGAAAAATGCCGAGGATTACACCAGGAAACACAGCGAAAAGCGTCCGGCTGACTAGAACAATTAAGGCGATAGGTGAGGCGTGTCGAGGAGAGGCGCCGGCGCCGCTTCATGAAAAACAACCAAACTGTAAACCAGGATGAGAAATGATAAAATGTACCGAAAACACACACACACATACACCTACACAAAACTTATACACACTAACACATGCATACACTAACATCCACACACAAACACACACGTAAAATTACACTAATTTTTGCTTAGAAAAAAAAAAAAAAGATGGGAGAATATATATAATAATATATATATAGAAATGCATAAACTGCAAAAATTCAGTTTATGTACGCTCTTGTCAAATTTGTATAAACTCGACAAATATTTGTAGTAGAAATTATTCTGCATTGTTTTTAAATACAAGAAACGAGAAAAACAGAAGAGAAAAAGTTTAAGAAATATGTAAAACTCAGCAAATCCAACGATCAATGATCATATTTTTATGTTATAAACAAAAAATACATGATTAACACACGATCGTCGCAGTCTCATTTATAGCTGGCGTTGCCGCCTCCTGCTCCTGCTCCAGACTGAAGCGAGTGGGAAACGCTTCCTCGCCGAGCATACGCCGATAGCAACTGACCAGAACGGTGTTGTTGTAGAGGATTAGGGCACTGGCAAATGGATTCTTGTGCAGCTGCTGCAACGGCAACAGGCTGTGCAGAGTATCCAGCCCGTCAGTCACATCCTCTCTGAGTAGACGTTGTAGCTGCTGCAGCTGCTCCAGTGCTTTAGGTTCCGTGGACAGGCCACTTAACGTAATGATCTGATTTTCAAATAGAGTTTCCTCGTAGATTTGCTCCGCCATTAGCAATAGCACAGATGCCGCATAGTGGCTGAGGAATAGAAATGCCTGGAATACGATTTTCGCTGGGCGTTGCTCCAGCAGTGAGTCAACCAAAGCAACAAAGAAACGTCGCTGAACTTTATAAAATGTTGACTCATCGGCCGGGCTGTCAGGTGCGTAATCAAATGCGCGCATTATGTGATTATTGCCATCGCAAAGCGAGCACTTTGCCGCCGTTTGCCACAGCGGATCCAGGTCAAAGGTCTGCAGAATACGCAAACGGAGCAGCAGCACCGGCTCGGAGGCAAATAGACTACTCAGCAGCTGTCCAATTGGAGCACCTCGACATGGTTGCAGTTGCAGCTGCTTTGCATGAAGCTTCACATGGCTGTAGCTGCGCAGACCAGTGGGACACTTCTCCAGTTGATTGAACTCCCGCCGCAGGCAGTAGATTTGCTTCAGCACATCGCCTTGACGCAGATGCTCCCGTTCCGTATAGGAGCCGCCATAAACTGGCACCGAGAAGCCCAGTGCCTTATTGATGTCTGCCTGCTGCACGATGCACAGCTCCTCGGGGAGCGGGCGCACCTTGTAGCGATTGTAGTACATGGAGGAGACGACGCCACGCAGCTGATGCAGATGACGCAAATAGTAGCGATCCTTGGACTCGTACGCATAGATGCTGCTCTCTATGGCCTCCTCCTGCAGCTTGAGGAACAGCCGACAGACGATGTTGTGCTGCATCAGAAAATCGTTGGGTATCTGTGACTTGGCAAACAGAGGCATGACCATGGTATCGTTTGGCTGTGCGAGTCTCGACCGCATCGCCTCCAACAGGTGCGACAGTCCAGGCATATCCTTCTGATAGTTCAGGCATATCACATAGACTTCCGAATTGCCACGCTTCGATGTGGCCGGCTTAAAGATGTGCACCCGCTCGAATATACAGTTGAGCATGAACATGATGGATACGCTGCACGCCTCGAAGAGCGTGAACATTTTGATAACCAAGTTTCCACTTGGACTTAGAATGTGAAGTGCGCTTAATATCTCTGCGAACAGCAGACGCGCCACAATCTCCTCCTGGCAATCGGGCTGGGCCGAGCAATCGATGGAGCCATCGGCTGTTATCAATTGCACACCAGCTGGCAAATCCTTGGCACAGACGTCTCTCATATGCTCAATGTTCTCCACGTTGAGTAGATTCCCAGTGAAGTCCCGGTGGAAGAGCCAATTGTTGAGTGTGTGAAAAATAAAGCGATCGTCGGTTATCATTTCATTCAACGCATTGCCCTCATAGTAGGGATTGAGCGTAGTGGAGCGCCAATGCCAATTAATCTGCGGAAGAAATTAATTGAGTTAGTTACTTATGAAATATTCCATCTCTCTGTACCTCCTCCTTTGTGTAAGTCGAGTGCAGGTAGTGATTGAGGGCGGCTATAAATGCGCCTGGAGCCTCGCACAGATGCAGCGTATTCAATTCCGGTTGCTTGATCAATGGATAACGATGCAAACACTCGAAGAACTTGCACCAAGCTACCTGTCAAGCAAAGAGTTGGTAAAAACGAAATCACTCAATTAGGCCGTAATTTCCACTCACAGTCACAAACTCCGCTTTGGTTTCGTTTTTGAGTCGCCAGGAAATTTCACCCGATGGATCACGACGATTCGTATGTGTGCTCCACTCTTGTACACCATAATTATTTAATTTGCTTTTGACATTGTTGAGTTGTTGCTTTAGCTCTTGTAGAGATTCGTATTGGTAGAATTCGCTGAAGAGCGGCTTATGTGCCGGCAGCAGCCAAGCCTCGTTTCTCGGCTTCTGGTATTGAAATTTCTTTTCAAACAGCTGCTCCACCTCCTCTCTTATGTTTAGTTTGGGACGCATATTTTGGCAGCTCTTAATTAATTAAGAGTAATGATGAAACTAAATTTGTTTAGTTTTTCTTAAGAAATAAATAATCCAAATAGCAGACTTAACAGCGCGAATTGTTAACATTATCAAGAACTGTTATTAACAGTTTGTAGTAATAACGAAGTTGAAATAGTTAATAAGTAAAGATATTTTGTCTTGTTATTTTATTTCATCAGTTTAACATGTATTATCAATTTCAATTATTTATTTTATGTTTATTTATATATTTACATTGATTTGGTTAATTAATGTTATTACCAATTTGAAATTAACAGATAGCTACCAGCTGTAAAGCTATCGATGACTATCGATGTACTGTTAACTACAGTTGCTTGCCTAAAAGCAACAGTTGGCAGCGCGAGATTTTTGGCGCCCCAATTCAAATTAAAGTCTATGTTTCTCTTCAGTCAACAATTGCTATTTTAATTATGATGAGTCAAATACTTTTAAAATGGGGAAACTCATTTATATAAAGAGTGTTTTGTTTTTCTATTCGCAGTAAAATTTAAATGCATACAATTAAAAATAGATTAATTACTTAGTATCCAATTTGTTTACATCACATTGACTTTATTATTATGTGTGCATTACCGAAGCATTAAAATTCGATTGCTACTGTTGGGTAAGATGTATAGATATTAAAACTATTCCTATATAAAATTTAAATTTAAAATTTAATTTTTTTTTGCATCTATGCAGCAATGTTAATTGAATACATTTTATGTAGTTCTTTATTTTATGTCATAAATGCATTTGTGGCTTTCATGGAATTTATTTTTTATGATCTATTCGATTAATAGTAATATTTTACAAATATTTTAAATATGAATATAACACAATTTAGTCTTTATTTTAAATTTCTCTTTTAAATTCATAACTCTTATCCCATCAGCTTTTCCGGCTAGTTTCCGCTTAACTTGATGGGAATCTTTCAATTTTTTCCATTGAAAATTAGTTTCCTTTCCTTTCATAAAAATATTTCTACATATATGTGCCTAAAATATGAAATTGATAATTAAGAGAAATTTCTACTGTTCAGTTAGTGCTGGCATATTAGGGTGAACTATAAAAAAAGAAATAGAGAATACGAAAATGAATAAAGAGGGAGATATTATGAAACAGTCAGACGGAAAAGTATTTATGGATAAATCGAGGGTTCGCCCGATGCATATAAAGCTGCGAATTAATAGAAAACAAATTGACTCACAAGCGGAAATAGAAAATATGGGTAAGAAAAAAGAAAGAAGCAG